ACCCTATGTGAATGCGGGATAATTTGTGCATCGGGCTGCCCTTTTATTTTTGAGCAGTAATTATGCTTGACCAAATTTTTAAAAATTACTTTTAAATGTATTTTTCTCAAAAGTACTTTCGCAAAGAAGCTACTTTTTCTGCTTTTCAAAAAATTATTTCTGTTTCAACTCATCAAAAAAAAATCCTTCTAAAAACTTGATCAAACACCTTAACTTTAGAAAGAAAAAAAATACTTTTAGCCAAAAAGAAGTTAGGGCAAATAGGCTATTAGTCAAAGGCATGCCTGTGTCTCATGAGCTAAGAAACTATTGAGCTACTAATTACTCTGGAAAAATTATATGCTAAACGAAAACGTGCATTTTAGACTACGACTAACTCAAACAGAATTTAACTTATATATTGATAGTGTATACACTATCATTGTTGCGTACCTTATATTCCAGGTCACTGATCCACATTTCAAATATTACATGTACGCCATGCAAACAGTTAATTAATTAAGTATTGGGGTTTGTCATAGAAATAAAAGTACAAAATAATTACGTACCAGTTTCTCAGATTTTAATTCAGGAGTAGTCATAGGTGAATCATCAGCATCTGCTACGCAGCGTTTTGTAGATCTTTCCTCAATGGATGGAGTACGAGCAGGACTTGGACTCTTTGAACTCATGTAAGCTGGACTACTGCTCTGTATTCCCACATCTCTAGTAATGCTACTCTTCTTCTCTAAAATAATAAATAAAAATGTACAAAACAGTAAGCGACTGAGTAGAACAAATGACATGATTTAAGTTACAGTATAATTATATTTAACATATATATTATAGTAGCGAGGAAATGGAAAAGATCGAGAACAATTGTTTAGACCTTTGCTTGGAATTTGTACTTCATTTTCATGTGTAGACAAATGAGGTACTACTTTTATAGGAGGTTTTGTTTGGAATTGTGGAGTCTGAAATTGAGAAGGATAAATCAAAGGTGCAGACATGGTGATTTTGCTGGTTAATTGGCGAAATGATCTCCCACTTAGTGTTTTTGCTGATAGACATTCCAAAGGAACTTCTCCTGATAATGGATTACAGATATATTTCTCAGCTTCATTCCACTTGGAATTTAGAGCCAATCCATCTGGTGACATGTATTCCCAACTATATACTGTTTTTGCCTGCAATGCTGCACTCATAAAACAAACCAATAATTCTGTGAAGTTCAAAAATGGAAGAATTTGGCTCAAACATTATAATTACACATATGGCAGGGCAGCCCAGTGCATAGCGGTCCGCACCCCAAGAGGTGTGATGCAGACAGCCTACCCTAATGTAAGCGTCAGACGAAGACAACTTTACTGTTGCTCCCATTCGAATATACACATATGCTAAAGAAATTATTCTGAAATCATTGACTCTAGATGTTGAATTCGACACAAGTTTTGACTGATTATATTCTAAAGGACTCACCTTTAAGGGCAGTGGTAAAAGAATAAGTTGAAGGGTCAATTTCTTCTGTAAAAAAGATTAAAACTTTATAAGAAAATAGTATAAAACAATAATGATGAGGGAAGAGGGAAGAGGGAAATAGTGTTAGTTGTATTACCTCTTAAGGTGTAGCCAGGGGAAGAAGCAGTACTTGAAATAGATATGTTTGATCTAAAAGACTTAGCATCTTCTCTGAAACTTCTAATATAAGAAGCTGAAAATCTTCTTGAATTGGTATTTTCTCTGCTAATTTTAGCCTTAAGAGTCCATTCTCTTAAGTTGAAGTCTCCATCATCTCTCCTTCTTGAACTTCCAATAGTTGACTGTTCCATACTAGGTTCTAGCTTCATGATAATGAAGATTTTGATGGTTTTTAAAAGTTGTTCTCTTTTTAAATAAAAAGAAAATAAATTTCAAAAAAAACTTTTGACTGCAGAATCAGCAAAAAAAGATGCTAAAAAGAGCAGCTGCGCAACAAGTAACTTCCAAAAACTAAAACTCAGAGATTTCAAATTTAAATTTCTTATTTGAAAGCAGCCCACACCCTCTTTTGAAAATAAAAGAAAAAATTCACGAGGTTAAAAGTGGGCCAGATGAATATTTGGTTTATCTGCTAATAAAATTTAAGGAGAGGTCCAATCTGATATTGGGTTTACAACAAAAAAGGAGGAGAAGTTTGGTGACTAGGTGAATTAGAGTAGGTAAATATACCCCATATTGGACATACAATTTGGTATATCATTATTAATGACCATTTGTTCATCTATCTTTTTCTGAAATAGTACTATTGGGACATGCATTGTGGTCCGTCTTAATATTTGGTACAAATGATATAGCTTTGTGTAGATGAGATGAGTGTAATCAATCGTGATTTTGTTAATCTTCTTGTTCAATTTTAGTTAAACAAGCTACCACAATATTTTTCTATGAAAGCGGGCGGATTAGTAATTTGGCTTGGTTGGCTTTTCATCCGCCGTTGAATTTTTTATTCGCATGATGTATCAAAATATGTATCGTCCTCACATATAGGATAAGACTGCTTACAATAGACCATTGTGGTCCGTCCCTTCTCCGGACTCCGCGCATAATAAGAGCTTAGTGCACCGGGCGCCCTTTATATTCTCCTCACATATAATTCAATAGCACTAGTAATTCCTCCGACACCATCCACCAGATGAAAGAGCATAAAGATTTAGCTTTTCCCCTTCTTGAATCCACAATATACTCCCTCATATTTGGAAGAAAAAAGTAAAAGAAAAGGAAACTATAGTTTAGTCTCTAAAAAGTTCCTAATAAACCTAGCAATACTTTGTAATTGAAGCAGCCAACATTGAAAGGGACAGGTGGAATACCCGCCTTGCTACATTCAAAATTTTAAGAGAGGAAAGTTCTTTATTATGCAAATTAAAATTCTTTAATTCAATAAAATTTCAAGTGTAATAAAGACATGTTAGGCGAGAAAATCCAATTGATGGCCATATCCTTGAGATATTTGGGAGGGGATAAAATTTCAGTGTTGGGTTATTTTCATTGTGAGTTGGGAAGATTGTGTTGAAAGAGAAAGGAGAATAATGAATATTGTGAGAGGATGAAATTTAGGTGGCGTTTGGAGATAAAAATATGTGAGATTTAAAAAAAGTAATTTTGAAGTTAAGTTAAAAAAAATATTTAAAAATTAAAATTATGTTTGGACATGTATTTAACTTGAAATATATTATGGTTTTGTAAGAGAAAAACATTATTTACTTTTAAAAAAAGAAGATAAAACCCACTTTTTCAAGTTTGAAACTCATCTTAAGACTTTTTTATAACTCATCTTCAAAATTCAAGAAATATAAAACCAAATACTCGGTAATATTTTGAAGATGAATTCAAGAAAAAAAGTGAAATAAAGGGATATTGAAAAAAAAGATATAGTTATATTTGTGGACACCCATGAATACATGTGAAGATGTCAAGATCATCCTCGTAATAATTAGGGGTAGGCTAGTAGGAGGGGTAGGTCCATTATCTTGTGGGCACATAGTCATTGTCAGGTTTTGTCTTAAGTGTATGCAAGGTAGGTTTCATATGGCAGTTTAGATATATATTCAATTGTCTCATGTCACATTTACCCATTTGATCCTTAAAAGAGAAAAAGATGTTGATCATTTTCGACTGTCCCACTTTTCCATTTTGTAATGAATGTTAAGCCTCCCCAAACTTCCAATAATCAATTTGTTTTTGATTAATTAATTTGAAAAGTACTTCTGAACAACAATTATTGTTTGGCTAAATTATAAAAAAATGCTTTTAAATATTTTTTTCTCAGAAGTGCTTTTCAAAAAAGTGTTTCTGAAAGAATCTACTTTTTTTTTGTTTCTACAAAATTGTTTCTACCTCTACTCAAAAACATTTTTTTTAATTCTAAAAGCTTGGTCAAATACTTCAACTAAGTGCTTTTACACGATTTTAAGAGGATGTTTGAATTGACTTTTAACTCTGGTCAAATCAGCTTTTAAGCTCTTTTTAACTTTTTTCAAATTTTTAACAAAGTTAAAAAAATACTTAAAATAAGTTAAAAATTGCTTTAAAAAGCCAAAATCAATAAATTAGACGACTCCAACTTATTGCTTTTTGGCTTAAAAACTATTTCTGTTGAGATATCACTTTCTTAAAGCCAACTCAAACAGAATCTAAATTTCTTTTATTATATATGTATACATTGTTTAAGTAGTTGGATTGAATTCACAAAACTCTAGCTAAATCTGCCTCTAAACTAGTGGCTATCAGGCCAAATGCCACGCTGCCACTCAAAAGGAAATAATTATTTGTACGCTCCCAACTCTTGAGTGGAAATGAGAATCCAACTTTATTTCTGTCCCTAATTTTGAATACTGATTTACCCGAACTTGTTCAGTTGTTTACAGTCAAAAGACAGACAAGGAATTGATGTCTGAAGAATCTTTGCAGTGCAACTCAGCCGGACCACACTTCAAACAGCAGCAAACCGATAGAAAAGAACAAAAGCCTCAATTACTTTTTCTTCACTGTAAAGTGGTAACACACATGATTCTACCTGGTAGTTACAGTTAAAGCTTCATTTTCTCAGCAGTGAAATCTACATAGTTTAGCTATTCAGATACTGTTTCGACAATAGCCCTCTACCCCCCCCC